AGCTAATTCCCTAGCTGACGGTTTAGCAAAACAAGGGGCAGAAAGGGATTCTTTGTTTTGGGCTAAGCTGTAACGTTAGTGTCTTTGTATCTTTGTATTTTCTTTTTTCCTTTCTTGAAGTTCTTTGCGACTCTTGGAAGATAAGTGTGTTTGTCTTCCACTTGTAAATTTTCTACTGATGAATTAATGAAAGTGTTATTGATAAAAAAAAAGAACTATTGACTGCAATATCTGGGTATTGATAGACTGATCATCTAGGGTGACTCGAGAACTGTTGTGAACTGGCTGAAGAAGGGAGAGGAGGGGTGACATGGCATCTGAGGAATGAATTCAAGCGATTTAAATGGCTCTCAAAGGACACGACAATCTGAGTTAAATGGTTGAGGAGAACTGCCAACAGCCTGGCAGATGGTCTAGCTAAGCAAGGGGTACAAAGAACTCACTTGTATTGGGCTCAATTGTACAATCTGAGTTAAATGGCTACTCTGCTTTCTTTTTTTTAAACTCTACATGTAATCTGGTAGTAGGACTAGCCTATGGGAGGTGTGGCACAAATTTATTTCATTGTCTATAATTCCATCTACACATGTAAGATAGTTTATTCTGTATTTAGAATCCCTGCATTGGTGGCAAAATAACAACAACAATATAAAGGGGTTATTGTGAGAACCAGAAGTGAGAAATAAGGAAGAATCATTGGGGATTGGTTTAGGGAAATGGTTACAAGATTACCTATGGAACCAGACAAATATTGGCATAGAGTGGTGGTAAGCATGCATGGGAGGCTAAGGAATGGAAATGGATGGAATGTTGAATGATCTGCTAGAGCAACATTAGTATCGCCCAAGGTTTAAAATGTTGGTGTCACTGGAAATATTAGTCATTCAAATATAGGAAACATGTTGAAAATGTTGTACAGAAATATTGTAAAAATAATAGACATGGGRAAAGATTGTGAAAATGTAAAAATATAGAATTATATTTTATAAAATGATAAAAGGCGCATAGGTGCGACCCTTTAAATTTATTTTGTTCCAAGCCATCAAACAAAGCTAAGAAACTAGGGTTAATAGGTAAAAGAATATGTTGCAAAGTTGCAAAGTTGTTATCTATCAAAAAAAAAAGTTGCAAAGTTGTCGGATTGCAAGGCCTTAGAACTCCTGAAGACTGTAGAAAATACTTTCTCAGATGTGACCAATCAAGATAAACGTATTTGGTTCCCTAATCCTTTGGCTGTAGAAAATAATTTCTCTTCTGCTTCCTTTTTCTATGTACATTTTTACCTCTCCTTTAACCTTGCAACCTATTTTGTTTAAAGAAATTTGGAATATCAATGCTTCCAAATTAGGTAGGGCCTTTTGCCAGAAGGTTTTCATGAGAAGATTAACACTTGTGGTATTCATAAAAAACAAAGACCTTGGTGTTCTCCCCTCATGTGTGCATCCTTTGCTATGCAAGTGGGGAAACTGCTTACCACTTGCTAATTGCTAGTATTTGGGATCCATGTAACAAAACCTACTTAACTTGGCATTTTCATTTCAACAAGAAAGGGAGGATCAAAGATTATGTTGCAATGTACAGGGGCAGAGATTAGTTGGACAATTCGGAAGGTGAAAATGCAAGAATCTTTAATGGGAAGGAACGTACAAGTAAGCAACCATTGAGAGTATGGTAGCAAGAGTGATGCATTTGGATGAAGACCAAGAAATTAGTTCTATTCATATTCAATGGACAACATAATTAGGGGATTGTAAGTAGTATCTTATTCTTCAATCACAAGAAGAGTGATTTAGTTGCAATGCTGGCCACCCATAATTGCCTACTTCAAATCAAACTTTGATGTTTGTTGCCTTGGGAACCTAAGACCATCGAGCATTGGAGACAAGCTTAGAGATGGAAACATGTTTTCTCTATGCTCAGGTCCCGTTGGGCATGGAGAGTCACTAAATGATGAATTTGAGGAGGTTGAAGATCTGTTGCTAACCTTGGAGTGAGTGTATCTTGAACTTTTCATCTGACAGATAATGTGTGGGCCCCCCATCCTAATGGTCTGTTCACCTGTGCTTCCTTTTTTAATTCTGTGTTTTTCCTCACAAATTCAACCTTTCCCTTACAAGGAAATTTGGTGCACTCCAATTCCCCCTAAAGTGCCTTTTATTGGGAAGAGTTTCATGGGAAAATCAACACCCTAGATAATTTTAGAAAAGAAAACCTTTTCTTTGTGTCCCCTAAATGGTGCACTCTTTACAAGGCCATCGAAGAGAGTTGTTACCACCTACCTATTCATTTGTTGCAGGTGTTTTTCCTCTCTGTTTGCCTACAAACATTAGCAGTTTATTTGATCTGGCCACCTTCTCATTGGTCACCTCAGGCTGAAGATTTCATCAAGTTAAACTTTGACAAGAACAAATCTTGACAATCTAGGTCCCTCAAGAATAGGAGAGTTTTTAGAAATAAAGATAGACATATTGTTGCCTTATTCTTGAACCAAACGAGTGTGGGGGAGTCAATTAGGGCTGAATTCTTGGTAGTGATTCAAGGGCTACAGATAGCTAGAAAATTAAACTTGAATAAGTTGACTGTAAAGGACACTCTAAGGTAGTAGAAGGGTGGGCTGCAGAAGCCACAGATTATTGTTTGGGTGTATAGAGATGGAATTAAGAAGTTTATATGGTTGACCTGTGATTTGACACTAAATGTTCGGTGGGAGAGGTCAGCTAATGGGCTTACTGATGTGCTAGCAAAGCAAGGGACCAATACGGGTCAGTAGAGGTGTAAATTGGGCCATGCCGCCTGTGGCCCGACACGGATTTGGACCGGCCCAGCACGACAGTCCATGGGCCGTGCCAAGCCCGGCACGATCATGAGGGCCGTGCTGGGCCTGGGGTTTCAGGTCCGCAGGCGGGGCCGACATGACACGACCGAGCGGGCCGTGCCGCCCACGGCCCATATATATTATTTATATATATTTTATATATATAATATTTATATATTTTATATATTTATATATAATATATTATATAAATTACAATTATATAATGATATAGTATATAATATATTAATAAAATAAACAATTGTTTTCAATTTTATTATACTAATTTATTTAATTATTGTATATATAAGCCATTGTATACATCAAAATTCATATAAAATTAAAATTTTAAGTTTTTTTCAATTTTTTTAAATAAATAGCTTTGGCCCGGTCCACAGCCTGGACTGGCCCACGGACCAGCCCGGCCCGAGGTACGGCACGGGCCCGCACCGGCTTGGGCTGTGCCGGGCCAACCCCCCAAGTTACCCCAGGGGAGGGCGGCACGGCCCATTTTACACCTCTACGAATCAGTTATATTGGGCTCAGTTGTAATTTGTAAATCCTTATTTGTATTGTGTCTATTTTGAGAGGTGAAACTCTCACCTCTCTTGGGATGCTTGTAGTGCTGTACATATTGACATTTCTAATGAAATTGAACTTACCTATCAAAAAAAAAGACTCACTAAGAGATGAAGTAGTAGAATTCCTGCATGGATTGAAAATGTAAAGATCGATGCACCTTAACAAATTAATGGTAGAGGGAGATTGAAAGGTGGCAGTGACCTGGATGGTTAATAACAGACAAGCAATATGGCAACA